CTTTATCTCGAAAATTACATAATAATCGCAATGCCTAAATTCGAGTGGGGTGAGAGGGTGATTTGGAAATTGCATAATAATCGCAATGCCTAAATCCAACTTACATCATCCTTCACAAAAATGAAATAAAACGACTTTCATACCCATATCCCATTACCTCTTAGTGGCACGCCTAAAACGATAACTTAAACACATTGGCAATTATTCAACAATAAGATTTTTACATGAGTTCTCGATCAAAAGATATATTCTCCCTTACTAGATAATAATTCTATATGTAAATTATAAGAGGCTTTAAAGTTTTATGGCCGATAATACTTGAGAGTGTGCATCTTATTTAGTGAAAAAACCTCATCTCGACTCACATTAACATAATTAACGGATTTCTCTAGTTCATACACTTTTGACCTAAAACTTTCGTTTCGACTAAGCAAGCAGATTTCAATGAAGCTAGAGTATATGACAAGTAAAACATACCCTCATGATTCATATAAGATTTCATAAAGAGAAAAGATATGAACTCACCTGTAGGATTTAAGAGAAATCCCAATCTCATGGAATTTACTGGTAGACGAAAAGAACTCGAAAACTGTAAAATTTCAACTTAACATCAAGGGCAACAACAGTAACATAAATGAAGGAATGGAGGGTCAGCAATTCGGAAAACAACACAATAGCGTCCGCTGTTTGCACGAGGCTAACGAAGAAACGGTTCGACGGTGCTTGCTGTTTGGTGAAGAACTCAGTAACAGCTCAACCGAGGCTGCTGTTTGCTCGACGCAGCGGCGAAGGACAGGCCAACAGCCGTGCCAGTTTTGGTGAAACAGTCCAGTAACAGCACCATTGCAGCTGCTGTTGCTGTATGAAGAAAATGGCGAAGAAAGCAAAGCAGTAGCAAATGCTACCTGCTGTTGCTGCTGTTTCCGTAAGGTGAAGGCACAGCAGCGCCTGCTGCTGCCTGAAACTGGCTAAAACGCAGAGAGGCCGAGAGGTGCAAAATGAATGGGGCTGGAGGCACGGTGATGGCGTGGCCGGCATAAGGTAGGCCTAACCGTTGGTGGTTGCAGCTCTCGAATGAGGATCGATACTCTAGTGGCTTCCACAGCTGGGGGTTTTGCCTTAATTCCAAATAGACGGTTCCCTTTTTCTTTTCTTCCTCCCATCCTTCCCTCCCTCTAAAGACTTATCCTCTTAAAATCAAACCAGAGGTTAAGGACCTCCATGGAAGGGAAATAACCTCTAGGAAATGATGATTTCAAAAGTACAAGAAGGATAGGACAACCCAAAAGGTAGCAGGTACCGCCCTTTCCCCCCCCCCTTTTTTTTTACTCTACTGATTTCAAAAGAAGGCTTACCTTAAAGTTTATCTATAAAAGTACGCTTATATTTATATATGCAGAAAATACTTAATAAAGAAAGATTTAAAAGAATTAGGGTGACTAAAGCTCTAAATAGGTGGATGAAAACGCATACCTCACTAACGGGACGAAAACCCTTGATCCGCACAGAGCAGGGAAAAAGGGAAAGATTTTCGGGTGTTACAATCCTTCCCACCTTGGGTTCAATTTCGTCCCCGAAATTTTAGTTCACTTGAAAAGGTGAGGGTAACGCCTCTTCAAATCCTCTTCCGCTTCCCATGTTACATTTGACCCTCGGTGATGTTTCCATTGTACTTTAACCATGACAATTTCTTTGTGTCTCAACACCTTGATCTTTCTTTCCAAGATGGCTTCCGGCTCTTCAACACACCGGTTGATCTCGTCCACATGAATTTTTGAAAGTGGAATAACACTTTCTTCTTCTGCTAAGCACTTACGAAGGTAACATACATGAAATATGTTATGGATCCCGGCCATTTCTGGCGGTAGTTCTAATTTATAAGCTTGAAGTCCCACTCTATCCAAGACTTAAAACGACCCAAGGAAACGGGGGCTGAGTTTCCTACGTTTTCCAAAACGGATAACTCCTTTCCAGGGAGATACTTTTAGCATAACGCGGTCGCGTACTTGGAATTCTATGGGTCGGCTCCCCTTATCTGCTTAACTCTTTTGGCGAGCCTGAGCCGCCTTCAAGCGCTGCCGTATACACTTCACTTTATTGGCCGTTTCCTGTACAATCTCTGGACTGGCGAATTGCTTCTCACCTGCTTCTAACCAACATACCGAAGTCCTACATTTTCGTCCGTACAAGGCCTCAAAAGGTGCCATCCCTATGTTGGAATGGTAACTGTTGTTGTAGGCAAACTCCACCAGGGGTAGGTGAGAATCCCAATTCCCGCCAAAGTCAATAATGCACGATCTAAGCATGTCTTCGAGTGTTTGAATGGTCCGCTCACTCTGACCATCGATTTGAGGGTGGTAAGCTGTACTCAATTTCACTCTCGTGCCCAGCTCTTTCTGCAAGCCGCCCCAGAAATGAAAGGTGAATCGGCTATCCCTATCAGACACTATTGACAGTGGTATACCATGCCTTGAAACTACTTTATCAATGTATAACCTGGCAAGTTTGTCCATTGGCAACGATTCTTGCATTGCTAAGAAGTGAGCACTCTTTGTCAGTCGATCGACCACTGCCCATATCGTGTCATGGCCTTTGAGAGTCTTCGGAAATTTGGCCACAAAGTCCATGGTAATATGCTCCCATTTCCATTCGGGAATCTCCAAGGATTGAAGACTACCATAAGGTCGTTGGTGTTCCGCCTTCACTTGCAAACAAGTCACGCACCTCTCCACATAACGAGCCACATCCAACTTCATAACGGGCCACCAATATGTCAACTTCAAGTCCCGATACATCTTGGTGCTACCCGGATGAATGGAGTATTTGGACTTGTGCGCGTCTTCTAGTAACAGTTCGTGATTGCCTCCAATCTTGGGTACCCAAATACGCCCTTGAAACAATTTCAAGCCACGACCATCCTCTGTCAGTAGTAAGCGTTGTTTCATCATTACTTCACTCTTGAGGTTCTTTTCTAGGAGCGTTTTAGATTGCGCCACCTTGATCTGATTAATCAGACTGGACACTATATCGATCCTAGTAAGCACAACTTTTGTCCCACTACCATACTCCTTTCGACTCAAAGCATCCGCCACTACATTTGCCTTACTCGGATGGTATAACAATTCATAATCGTAGTCTTTGAAAAGCTCAAGCCAACGACGTTGCCTCATGTTTAAATCTTTTTGATCGAAAATGTACTTCAAACTCTTATGATCAGTGTAAAACGTGCACTTGATTCCATAAAGGTAATGTCGCCAAAGTTTTAAGGCGAATATCACCGCTGCCAGCTCCAAGTCGTGGGTGGGATAATTCTTCTCGTGATCTTTGAGTTGTCTGGATGCGTATGCTATTACTTTTCCCTTTTGCATCAAGACACAACCCAATCCCATGTTAGAGGCGTCGCTAAAAACTACGAAGTCTTCGGATCCTTTTGGCAAGGAGAGAACCGGGGCTTCACACAATTTCTTTTGGAGAGTTCTAAAAGCATACTCTTGCTTTTCTGTCCAGATAAACTTCACATTCTTCCTAGTCAAGGCTATTAAGGAAGAAGCGACCTTGGAGAAATCTTGGATAAATCTCTTGTAATAACCTGCCAGACCCAAGAAACTTTGAATCTCTGACGGACTCTTTGGTGGTTCCAGTTCATCATTGCCTCGATCTTGAATGGGTCCACCTTCACCCCGTCTCGAGTGACAACGTGACCCAAGAATTAGACCTCTTTTAGCCAAAATTCGCACTTGGAGAATTTTGCATACAATTCCTCTTTTCTTAACACTTCGAGAACTTCTCGAAGGTGCTGCTCATGATCCGTCTCGTCCTTGGAATAGACGAGTATGTCGTCAATGAACACTATCACTGACTTATCAAGGAACGGTTGGCACACTTGGTTCATCAAGTCCATGAATACTGCTGGTGCATTCGTTAGACCGAAAGGCATGACCATGAATTCATAGTGCCCATATCGCGTTCTAAAAGTTGTCTTCGATACATCATCTTCTCTCACTCGAACTTGGTGATACCCCGAGCGAAGGTCAATCTTAGAGAAGCAACTTGCTCCCTGAAGTTGGTCAAAAAGGTCGTCTATCCTAGGAAGAGGGTATTTGTTTTTCACGGTTGCCTTATTGAGCTCTCTGTAGTCAATACACATCCTCAAGGTGCCGTCCTTTTTTTTACAAACAAAAGTAGAGCTCCCCACAGTGACGAACTCGGTCTGAAAAATCCTTTCTCTAGAAGGTCTTGCAATTGGGACATTAACTCTCGCATCTCGGATGGCGCCAAACGGTAAGAAGCTCTAGCAATTGGAGCGGTTCCGGGAATGAGGTCGATCCGGAACTCCATTTGTCTATCGGGTGGTAATCCGGGTAGGTCTTCAGGGAATACATCGGGAAATTCATTGACCACTTTCACATCTTCAATTCTTCTTATCTCTAGCTTGGTATCCAATACATACGCAATAAATGAGGAGCATCCTTTAACTAGGCACTTACGTGCCTTCGCCATGGATAAGAGTACTACATTCCCTTTCCTTCCTTCTCCATAAGCTAGCACCGCATCCCCGCCCGATAAAGGAATTCGGATCAGTTTCTTAGAGCATAAGATTTTCGCTTGGTTCTCAACTAGCCATCCATCCCGATTATGACATCGAATCCGCCTATAACCATAGGTATAAGGTCCACCCGAAATTCCTTTCCTTCAATTCCCAAAATGCAATCTCTAACAATTTCACGAACCAAAACTTGACTATCATTCGCTATCTCTATGATTAATGCATCTTCTAGTGTACTAGGCGGCGTATGCAAGTGTTGATTGAATGTAGTGGACACAAAGGAACATGAAGCACCTGAATCAAAAAGCACGTGAGCAGGTACGGAGTTAATAAGGAAAGTACCCCACACTACATCCATCGCCGCCTTAGCTTCTTCTCTCGACAACTGAAAGGCTCGACCGGTTGATTTCAGGGCGTTCTCTTTTCTTCCTTGACTTCCACCTATTTTTAACTTTTAGCAATCATTCTTGAATTGGCCCGGCTCTCCACATCCAAAACATATGGGTCCCTTGATTGGACACTCGTTCCGTGTGTGGCCTGCCTTCCCACACCTAAAGCATTTGGTGGGGGTAGAGTTGGTGCTACACAGGCCGTGATGCTTACTGCGGCATTTGGGACACCATCTAGCCTCTTGTTTAGGATGGGCTCCGCAATTGTAGTTGCCAAAGTGGTTTGGCTTTTTGGATGGTGCGTAAGGCCCTTCCCACTTCCTCTTCTCTCCACTCGACATCCTTTCTTCTTTTCCTTTAACATAAACCGATTCCAACACCTTGGCTTCTTCGATTGTCTCCCTGAGGGTGGAAGCTCTGGAGTTCCTAACCATCACCATCATGTCCGCAGGTAGCCCTTTGAGGTAGGCTTTCATCTTATCTTTCTCCGTTGGGGCCACGTGTCCCACCAAATTTAGCTTTTTCATGAAGAGTCGGGTGTAGTTCCTTACTGAAAAATTTCCCTTCTTAAGGGTTCGAAACTCTTCTTCGATGCGGTCCATCTCTTGTTCGTTGCAATATTCTTCCATTGCCTTTTCTTTAGATGTGGTCGAACTCATCTTGGCTAATTCCGTAACCTCGATGGTTGAGATGACAATGTTCCACCAGGTAAGAGCTGCACCCCTCAGCATTTGAGAGCCAAACTTTACTTTTTTTCCCCTCATCACAGTCACAAGCCCGGAAGGCTTGCTCGATTTTTCGAAGCCAATTCATGCACGCCACGGGGTCGTCCGACCCCACAAATTCCGATGGTTTGCAACATAGAAAGGTCTTGTAAAAGCAAATTCTACCCATTTGTCTCGCCTCAATCATTGCTAGCTCCTAGGTTGGGATTCCATTTCCCGTACCCCCAGACCCCCCCAAAGTTACATTCTCGGCAACTGCTTCATGCTTACGATTATTAACATCTCCGTCCTCCAAAAGTTTCATAAAGAATCTTGTTGTTGGGCCATAGTTCTATTCATAACATTTAGCATTGTGTCCATCATTCTTGACTCTGGGGTTTCCTCTTCGATTACAGGGTTAGTGGTGGCATTGTCAATTTGAGGAGACTGGTCAACTCCACCTCCCAAGGTGTCTTGCCAAGGGTGGACCCTTGCGATGGTGGTTCGTGGTGGTTGATCCGCGGTCGATTCTGTCATTGCATGACCCTCCGGTGAGGTATCCCGTCTACTCCGAGTGTTCACCATAAAGACTGAATGCAAGAGAGTGGAAGAGTGTTAGAATAGGAAGAATTCGGAATTATCATAACACGTACCGACACATTCATAAATTCTTGCAATAACAGTGAGTTTAAGCACGCTTATGCAACAACATACTCAAAATAGCATTAGCTAAGTGAAATTTCGAATACGTTATACATAAGAATCCTCAACACCGCCATCACTATTCATGAATTGTGTAACTCCATTGCCCCCTAAAGTTCTCTTATCTTAACAGTTTCTACCCACCTATCACAAATTGATACTTACAATTTCAGCTTAAGTCTAGGCGTCATGATCCCTTACCTAGTTCACTTAAACTAGCGCTCTGATACCAACTTGTAACACCCTACAAAAAGGAAGAAGGTAACACGGTAGGAGATAAATTTTATCCGACAAAATAAAGCCGGAAAGCTAGAGTTTCAATAAGAAAA